CGGGTCTTGAACCCGCGGGCTCAGGCAGTCCACTCACCTCGGCCTCCCAAAGCGCTGGGATTACAGGCTGAGCCACTGAGCCCAGCCTTTTTTTGTTGTTGGCTAGAGTGCATCAGCCTGCTGGGCTCAGGCAATCCTTCCACCTTAGCCTTACAAGTAGCTGGAACTACAAGCACACGCTACCATGCCCGGCTAATTTTTTTGATTTATTGTAGGGATGAGATCTCACCAAGTTGCCTGGGCTGGTCTTGAACCCGCAGGCTCAGACAATCCACTCGCCTCGGCTTCCCAAAGTGTTGGGATTACAGGCTGAGGCACTGAGGCTGGCCCTCACTTGTTTTCTAAACCTCCTTTCTGCCTTACCTTTGCAGGCTACCTTATCCTAGATTTGCCCTGGGTGATCAGATTTACTCCCATAGCATCATTTACCATATATATTCTGATGATTCCCACATCTCTCTTTGAAGCCTGGATATCGCCCAAGTACTTCCAACTTGAGATGTCTAAATTGAAATGTTTCCCACCCCTTTCCCATTCTCCTTGCACAATTCTCAGCTGAAAACCTGCCTCATTTCTATAACTTAACAGCAAAATCTAATCTATTCTACTTGGTTTTTTGTTTGTTTGTTTTTTCTGATTTGGAGTCTGTTGCCCAGGCTGGAGTGCAGTGGCACACTCACAGCCACTCCAGTGTCGACCCACTGGGCTCCAGTGATCCTTTTGCCTCTGCCTTTCAAGTAGCCGGAACTACAGACGCGTGCTATCACTCCCAGCTAATTTTCTAGTTATTGTAGAGACGAGGTCTCGCCAAGTTGCCTGGGTTGGTCTCAAACTTGTGGACTCAGGCAATTCACTCACCTCAGCCTCCCAAAGTGCCGGGATTATAGGCTGAACCACCGAGCCTGGCTAGTCTATTCTACTTGTAAAGTATACCTCCAATCTTTCCTCTTTGCTCTAGCTTCATTGCTGTGTGTGTGTGTGTGTCAGAGTCTTACTTTGTCACCCAGACTGGAGTGTAGTGACTTGCTCAGACCTGCTGGACTCAGGTGATCCTTCCACCGCAGCCTTCCAAGTAGTTGGAATCACAGGCATGCACCACCACTCCCGGCTAATTTTTTTTATTTATTTTAGTGACAAAGTCTTGCCAAGTTGCCCAGACTGGTCTTGAACCCCTGGACTCAGGCAGTCCTTTTGCCTCCTCCTCCTCCCAAAGTGCTAGGATAACAGGCATAAGCCACTGTGTCCAGCTTCTCTAGCTCCGTTGCTTTTATATCCAAACTGTTGTGATAGCCCCAAATGGGGTGTGTTGATTGCTTGCTTAAAATCCCAGAGGGTCTTCTCATTATACGTGGAGTAAAAAGCTTCCAGTCGTGGTTGTAAGGTCTTCAATCTTACCTTGTACCACTCTTTTCCAGTTTACTAGACTAGCCACTTGGTTCCTTTTGGAATAAATACTCAAGCTCTGTATTACTATCTCCTTCTCTTTAGAGCCTTTTTATTTTTTTTTTTAAGCTGAATCTCTGGCAAACTTTTTATTATTTTGTTTCAGCATAAATATCACCTATTCAAAGAAGCCTTTCCTCACATCTAAACCCTTGCAAAGTAAGCATCTTTATTATTCTGTATCATAGTATATTATTTTCTTATTAGCCTTTTTAAAGGGTATACTTTTTATTGTTTATTGCTTGTTTTGTCCTCCAGCAAAGTCTTATTAATTATTCATGTTTCTTAGATGAATCCCTTGAATCACTGCTGTGATTCTCTTAATCCAAGTCCAACGTTATGACCCAGAAGATTCATTCAACAGCAATACTGTCTGGTTTCCCTGTCTTTAGTCTTCCCTTTCCAGTCAGTCTCCATACTTGTTCAGGGATCTTTCTCATGTGTAGACCCTCCTCAGCATGGCATTAGCAGCTCTTTGTGACCTGGCCCCTCCTTAAATTTCCAGCCTTATTTCTCACCAGTCCTCTTCTGTGCCCCAGCATACTGAACTATTTGTGATCACAAGCTTATCACGTTTTTCTTTACCTTTAGGCCTTTACATTTATTTAATCCGCCTCCTGGACTCATTTTCTCTTTCTTGACCCCTTGACTTGACGAATTGAGGACTCAATTTAGATAGCACTTTTTTAATGAAGGCTTTCCTAATCCTCCCTTCAAACCTAGGTTAAATGCCCCTTCTGTATTCTCCTCTAACATTCTGTGCTTACTGTTATCATGATACTTGATATATGTATTATAGTTCCCTATTACATTATGTTTTCTCCCCACCCCTTGACACGCTACTTGAAATCAAGAACTGATTCTTAGTCATTGTTGTTGACTTAGCACCTGAGTCAGTATTCAATACATTGTGGCACTGAGTGAAAGTCGCTTGTCACAGACTAAGTGGTAGCAGTGTGGGGGCTAGTTGACTGTAAACTGAATAGGGTAATTACTTATAGTTGGATTTGGGGAATTTTCCAATGAAGGAGAGTGAGTGAAAGAAATCACACTGGAAGTTTAGGTATGCCCACTTGATTCTTAAAGAATGTTGTTTATAGTTTGAGTGGTGAGAGAGTAGTGGAGTCTTGCCTTTATCTTAGATGTACTTTTTTTATATTTTTATCTCAACCATGTTTAAATTATGATTTTTTTTTTTTTGGTTACAGGTTAAGAAATATCCTCTCAGTAGTTGGTACTGATGCCTTAAAAAAGACAAAAAAGGATGATGAGAAATCTAAGAAGTCCAAAGAAGAGGTAAACTTTGTCTTTGACTTCACAGTGTAAACATGAAGGAAATGAGATTGTTCTCATTTTCTGCTTTCAGTGGTTTGCTTTGCTAGCATGAGGGGGCAGAATGGCTTTGATTGCTCTGCCATTCAGGAATAGTTTTTAGCAATAGTTTATGGTTCCTATGTAGGTATAATGTAGCCAAGTGAATTTTCCAGTCAAGAAAGAATCATAGCAATTCTGGTGTAGCTTAACAAGGAACAGGAACCATCTAATAAGACATTATAGAAAAAAATACAGTAGAAAGCACATGCCTGACTTTATTCTAACTAAACTAATTCACCTTCTTTCTTGGCCATTACAATAGAGAATTGACAGCTGCGGAAGGGGCAGAGCTGCTTCGAAGTTAACATTTCTGCTCTTAATTTGCCTTTCAGTATCAGCAAACCTGGTACCATGAAGGACCAAATAGCCTGAAGGTGGCTAGACTATGGATTGCTAATTATTCGCTGCCCAGGTAAGGAGAGCCTCTAGTAGAAGAAAGAAGTGTTTTTATTTGTTTACTTCTTCTGGGGAACTGAGGGTCTGCTTTGTAATGACTGTGGTTGTTAAGTGGAGTTGAGTGGTAGAGATACATGCGTGGGCCCTTGTTTGCAATCCAATCTGCTCTTGATAGTGATGTTTCTGTGCCATAGGGCAATGAAGCGCTTAGAAGAGGCTCGCCTCCATAAAGAGATTCCTGAGACAACTCGGACCTCCCAGATGCAGGAACTGCACAAGTCTCTCCGGGTAAGATGCTCTCAGTGATTGTCCAGTATCTTAAAGGTTGTTTCTGAGAAGAAGTAAACAATTACAGCTGCTTTTACTGTCCCAGAGGTCTGCTTGGGCCCACCTCTGGGATAGTAAAAGCAGCTGTAATTATTCCTCTCTGCTTGAGCCATTGTGGTAATGGAAGGAGCCATTGGTTAAAGTAACAGGAAACTACAGTGCTTTGTACTCAGCAGAAGCCAATGGTTCTGCTTTAATTCTCTCTTTTAATATGACATAACTGTGCTCTCGATTTCTCTAATATTTTTTGTGTATATTTAGCTGACACACAAGGTAGTGATACTAGAACTGTAGAAAACAGCATGCTGGAGTTTCAGATAAACCTTGACTCCATTTGTCAATATGAGTGTCTCCTAACAGCAACAAAAGAACCATAGACTCTTGGGGTGGGTTAAAACAGAAGTTGCTTTTTTTATGGTGGAAAAGTCACTGAAGTCTTGGATTAGCCTATTAATGAACACTATTTTTTTTCGTCCCTTTTATTTTTAAGTCTTTGAATAATTTCTGCAGTCAAATTGGGGATGATCGGCCTATCTCCTACTGTCACTTTAGTCCCAATTCCAAGATGCTGGCCACAGCTTGTTGGTAAGTGACATTTTTCCCTAAATGGGGGATAAATTCATAAAAAAATTACAATTTGTCTTAGATTCCTATCTCTACATCCTTTTCCTCTGCTTCTCATGATCATATCAAAGTACAGATGATAGTGCTCTACCTGCTGTATGATACAGTATAGGCTTTGTTGAGCTATTCTTTTTGTTCTACAGGCACCCCGGAGATCCATATCATGTAGTCTGCCATAGTCTTGACACAGTGTTTGAAGTGGGTCATATAGTGCATTTTAGAACAAATAGTAAGCCGGGCTTGGTGACTCAGCCTGTAATCCCATGCCTTTGGGAGGCTGAGGTGAGTGGATTACCTGAGCCCGCGGGTTCGAGAC